ATGGCGAAATTTCATCGAAATTCTCTACTTCAAGTGGTGTCCGTCAGGGATTTCCACTCTCTCCATTCTTGTTCAATTTTGTCATAGACAGGCTTTTAGTGTTAACATCATTATCGTCTGACTTTTCAAGGGTGGACCATCTACCAGGAAACTCGCTTGTTGACTTGGAATATTCCAATGACATATTTCTATTCAGTGAAGACGCTGACAAAATCCAGAGTCTTCTGACTACCTTAAGTAACAATGCAAGTATGTTTGAGATTTTGATGTGGTTGAGACATGTGTTAAGAATGTTCAACCGCCGACTGACTCAACGAGCGATATTTTTTGGTGTTGGAGAAGGTTGGAAGAAAGCTAGGGGCGGTCAAATCAGAACATGGCAGAAATCCATGAAGTCATCGACAACTGGATTAAATCATGTTGATAGGTGTCGACTATCTGGGGGGGGGCCGCGAGATGATGGTAATCGATGGTTAGAGACCCTAAATGACACTGCTCAAAACCGTTTGCAATGGTGCAGGTGCATTTTTTCTTTATGTTCTCTCAAGTCCTAACCTTTCTAAATTTACCTCACTGAATTATACTTCTTGAATAATATCTTCAAACCGTAATCTCTCCGATTACTTCTAATACCTTTACTACCTCTACTACTATGGGATTTGAATTGACAATTACATCTCTGTGCTAATGTGGTATTAAAGATTCCCATTGTGTTGTTCTAATGTGGTATGGCAACTTGAACTGCTGCACTTACGTGCAAAGTTCTACGCTGCTGTTGATGATGAAGTCTATCTGCCCCGAACAAATTGGTCACAAGCGACATCACATTCCAACATAAACGCATACACAAAGCCACATGGATTTCACGCGATCACACCACACAGGACCAAATCGATCACATCTGCATCGATAAACAGTCCAGAAGGACGGTGGAGGACGTGAGAACTAAGAGAGGAGTTGATATCATCAAGTTCATCACTGACTGAAACTCAAGAACCACTGGACAATGGGGCGGACAACATCACAAAAGTGTAACACGGCCTTTCTTCGAGATAATGACAAACTCAAAGAATTCAGAAAAACCCTCAGAAATAGGGTCTAGGTCTTCTACACAATGAAGAGGAAACTACCATGGAGAACAGTTAGAAAGGGACCAATGACGCAATCACTTAAACATGTCAGGAGGTTCTAGGCCACAAGAACTACCATCACAAGGAATGGATCACCGTTGGCGCTCTTGAAAAAATTCAAGAAAGGAGGGATAAGAATACTGCAACCAACATCTGTCGAACAAGAACAGAGGAGGCCAAGGCACAAGCTGAATACACAGAAGCAAACAAGCAAGTGAAGAGCAGCATCAGAGCCGACAAATGTAAATATGTGGAAGATCTAGCAATAACGGCGGGAAAGGCTGCAAGAGAAGGAAACATGAGACAGTCGTATGATACAACAAAGCTCGCTGGAAACTATCGCAAACTAGAATGAACAATGAACAGCAAAGAAGGGACAGTAATCGAAATCTGAGTGACCTATTACATAAGGGCTACGGAGACCTCCCGTTTACACAAACTAAACGCATCGAGCAGCTTATTTCAAAACTATAACCCGATGGCTTCAATCACTCAGATATCGCTCCAGGTCGATAGATAGATAAGTGTTCAACAGTTATTTCGATCTTAAGATCCTGAACTTGTCTGTAGAGGATAGGGAATCTTCATCCTGTTACAAGTGATAAAGTTCTCTTGATTGTTAGCTAACCTGTTGTATCAGATACCAGCGATCTTGAACGACTGGAGAAACGTATTGTCAAGGCAGTAAAGAGATAGTATGGAAATAATAGAACTCTCATTATTCCTCAAGAAAAGACGGACACCTGCTTGCTTGGATAACTGACATGGAGCGTAAAACATCACTGATATGTAGGACGAGATAAGATAGAATATAGGCTGTTTAGAGCCTACACAGTGAGATTCGAACATCAGTAGGCTACTAGCTGAATTATTCACCTAGAAAAGGTTACCATGAACATACCTTTCTAGTTAAGTTTGGCAACTTACACACGCAAGTTGTTGGCATACTCAATAAACCTTTAGTATGAAAGCTGGTTGTCAAGGCTGTCTCGACAGAAGATCAATCAAAAACCGAAGATTGAATCGGACCGTAGAGGACAGAAATTACTGAAAGCCAGTGTGTTGAGGAAATTACTAAATTTTTATCAAAATTGCAAACTGCTGACGAGTCGTTTATTACAATGAAACGGCCATCCAATGTTTCAAGCTTTCCAATTGTGGCTAGATTAGAGAAGTTTCCGGAGTTCTAACGAGAAGCCGTAACCAGTGCAGTTAAAATGTGTCGGGAGTGAGGAATGTAACTACCAAATACAATGGACGATGATCACGCAATATCGTGGACTGATTGGGGTTAGACTTGTATATCATCGGATCTCGGTTCAGGAGTCTGGCGGTTAGATGTCCTCAAACGAGATCGAAGGTACTGGGTTTGGTTCCTGGCTTTAGGGGGCGTGGATGAGCACTGCTGAGAAGTCCTATACTAGAACGAAACGGCCTTCCAATGCTTCCATGTCTTCAATAGTTATCTTACTCAGATCGGTCCGTGATTGCAATGAGATCAATTAAGGCATTTGCCTATGAATTTGTAGTAAAAAAGCAACTTTAAACTGTGAATCGACAGCCTTCCATGGTTCCTAATGCTAAAAGTAAACACTTACGAATTCATACCACACTTTTCAACCAGTATCAGTCAGATTACGTTACATAATAACACAAATATTACTGCATTCAAAGATGAATCATATTTTATTTATACTTATACACACGCACGCACGCACACACACACACACATTTGACAAAAATGTGAAAAGAAAATGAAGTATCCGAAATTTTTAAATATCATCACCATCGTTAATTTATGATAACATGACAAAAAGTGTCACCATACAGATGAACGTACGCAAACAAGTGCGAGTGTGTCCATACAAAAATGAAAAGATGAAGAACAGACAACAAATAAACAAGTTATAGAGAGAAAATACCACTGAGAAAACAACAATAGGTGAAAAAAAGAAGGCAACAACAGTAGCGTGTTTGGATAATAACAAATAGACTGGTAACAGTACATAAAGCTAACAAGAATCAACCGCAATAACACTACTAGCTGCTGCATTTTGCACAAAACATACCATGCTGTTTACTGTATACTTATCCGAACTTTTTTTTGCGTAAACACAGGCAGATGAGAAAGAGAGTGGTGGCAATAAATATGAATGGATTCGAAAAATTTTTTTTTGCATTTTTCTCGATAAAAAAAACTGAGCGATACACCATACATAAATGTAGAAATAGGTATAAATATACTCACTGAAAAAAATATATAAATGGTAAGAAACTTATGCACAAATTATTATGAAATTATTAATAACACTCGAGAAGACAAAGTACATCTTCAGCACTGACGACTAGCTAGTGCCTACAACAAACACAAGGGTTAGCGTGTGTGTGTGATTTGTTTGAGTTGGAGAATGAGTGGAAACAAGATGGAAGGAAAGACACAACACTACAATATATATATATTGGATACCGATGTGAACCGGGTGACATGATATTGTTTTCAGATTTCTAGCGTTGATGATGATGATGATGATGAACAAGACAGGGGGAAAGGTGGGGAGGGAGAAATGCATTTTTATCTCCTTGAAACTTATTTCTTCAATATGTTTAATACAATTTGTTTACACTTTTTTTTGGTATAACAACTGTGTCTCTCAAAGTTCCCATGCTTATTTCAGAGTAGCAATGGTAGAATATTCTCAGTAAGAATTAATTGAAAAAACAATTTGTAATAATAATAATAATAACATGATAATTGTCCATAGAAATATCAAGCAAAGAAGCTCATTGCCTCTTTTTCTCTCTTCTTTTCATCAAAATTGTAAAACATGATATATTGTGAAAGGCCAGATAGAAAACGAAAAAAACGAACGGATTAGAAGAGGGGACAGAAGCACAGTAGAATTATGCTATTCATCAAAATACTAACTCACTCTTCGTTATTAAATAATGATGAGAAAAAGAGAGGAAAAGACAACAACCAAGGGAATTGTGTTTTTTTTTCATGTGGCGTATTGAAAGTGTGTAAACGTTAACTAGATAGATATATACCAGAAAACAGTGTGAACAAAGTGAGTGAAAAATGTTCTGCAAACACGCATGTCTATATATACATTTACGTACAATGTCCAGGGAAAGGGATAAACACAGCAAAATATAGTGATGGTGGTAAGAGAATGGCAAGTGTAGCATGGATGTATGTATGTATGTATAGGCGCATATTGAAGAAGACTTCATAGAAAAAACGATCATAATCATAACAATAAGGATAATAGTTTTTCAGTGAAACCTAAATATACAAATAATTTGTAAAACCGAGAAAAAAACGGCTAAGCGCAAACTGAGAAATGTATGAGATTATTAACATGATATGATAATCGATTGGTAATAATTATTCAACACCTAGTAATCCCAAAATGAAAATCTCATTAATTTAAAAATGTGACGGTTTATGAAAAGGACATTGTAACTTGCACAGATACACACACAGCATAAAGAATGAAATTATATGGATGACAAATGGAACAATTGTAGAAGACAGTAAAAAAAAAACAATAAGTAATAATCGCCTACGCAATAGCCAACACATAACTATTTCAGGTACTATTTGGTTGAAGTGTCAATTAATAAGAAAATTAAGGGAATACATAGATATAAGTATGCGGAGATTTGTTTGAATGCTACTATACTGTGTGTTGCATGCAACAATAAAAATAATAGCAGTATGGATAATAGTGCACTGCCAGTTTACAATTATAGAAATTGTGTTTTTCATTATCTTTAACAATCAATTGATACTTTCCATTTTCATGCTGCCTATCCCCATACAATTATTATCACTAAAGTTATACAGCTTGATGGGCTAATTTACTATCATAAATAAGCACCATCATTAGATGTAGTAATCAATGAGATATCTTTTAATGCTGATGCAATAGAACGATGTTGATTACTGTCAATAATGATATTTTTATCATTTTGAATATTGTTGAAATTTGAAGGGAAACTAGGTGCACTTAAAACAAGTGGGATCTTGCTTGGAACTGAAGATTTATGACTATCACTATTGTTATTATGACCAACATGAACATGGTTATCATTCACCATGACTGATAGAATAAAATGTTGATTCGAAGTGGTGTTAATTTCATCATTCGATGAATTAGAAATTTTACACTGATTTTCTGATTTATCATTTGTTATTGATTTTGTTGGTGTTGTGTTTGTTGTTGATGGTGGGACATAAGAGGTAACCTGTACAGGAACAGGTACAAAACTTGTAGATGGTACTCCTGTGGCTAATGCAGCAGCTTCAGCTAACGCAGCTGCACTAGCTGATGAAGAAGCAGAGATTAAAAGTAAAGGGAAAGATGATGTATTACTAATATTCACAGAGTTCGATGCGGTGATGGTGGGAGTTGTATAAGCTTGAGAAAAATTAGATGAATGTGATATGTTTTGAGAATTGTTATTGATGTTAGAATTAGAAGATTGTAGAATATTTGACAATGATGATGATGTAATCTGATTTGTTAAAGGTGAATGAGATGTTGGAATTGTGATTGACGGAGAAAGCATCATAATTACATGTGCACCGTTGACATTCATTTGATTTGTTAACATCGATGATGATGATAATGCGGCGGTAGCAGCAGCAGGTAAATCCCCATGTGAAGATTCTGATGTCGAAAATTTCAACTGTTCTGTACGTAATTTATTGATTGTAGGTTCTGGTATACCATGTTTCATAGGACTGAGATTTACAGAAACTTGTTTACATTCACTCCTGATGACTGAATCAACCTATAAAAACATTAGAAAAGTATCTCACTATCTCTATAAAGTAACTAAACTTGAAATAGAGAAATTTGAGACTTAATAGAAAATTTGTGGAGAAAGAAAAGTGCCACTAACTGACTGATGATTCGTAACTGAATAAGCAGTTCCGGGGGAGGGTAGCTTTAAATATGCTAAAAACAGTTTACTAGAATTGGAGAGAATGGATCCACAAAAGCTGTTTCATTTTCAGTTTGCTTGAAGTTCACTCTCAAATAAACCAGGATTTTGTGAAATACTAGAGATGACATAACTCCGCCTGGAGCCCCTCTGGGGCTACTGCCCGTAACAGCACACGCAAACTGCGAGTCCCAAGCCCGGATAAAGGAGGAGAGTTGTGATTGGTGTTGGGGACCCCATCTTGTAGAAAACTAACTCGCTAAAAAGACGCCAACCATAAAAAATAATTCAAACCATCTTGACTTTGCCCTGGGAGTTAGGTCTTTATTCAGAAGAGTTATGACGTATCATGATGGAAGCCAAGTTCCTTCGGAAGTCACGAGGGCGATGCCGCATCTGAGAACCAGAACAACCATTATTTTAGCGGCATGGAAGAGATTTGACATGAAAGTTTTGTTTAATAGGAGCAGACAGATGTAGTAGCATGTGAAAAATTTTCTAAAGATTAGAAACTAATCGATAACTTTAATAAGCCTAATGACGATCCACATTTTGAGCGTGATGATTAGTGATATTAGCCTCTTCCTCAGACCGAAATACGCAGAGGTTTGAAACGGCTACTTAACTGGTCAAAGTTTAGTGGCTTAAACATTGAGCCACTTCTCCAATGTAATGTACTATTTCACTCTACATTTATGCTTAAATAAATTATTTAAATCTATGCTAGTATTTCAACTGTTGATTCAACACAGGTTTTGTTATATCGTTTATGTTGATCATAGAAAATCACTAAATAATTTAATTAATACATATTTATTTAGTTTGAGATTTCATATCAATATCCATTTGATTTTGAATTAAGCAATCGACTTTCTTTTGTTTAAGTTTTCTCTCTTCTATTGGTTTTTTTCTTTCTATCGTTATTATTATTGAAAAATTCTAAAATAAAAATTTAACTACATTCAAAACTTGATCTTATTATAACAGAGAGCAACTTCTGCGAAATATAGCAACCTGGACTGATATACGCGCACACTGAGTTCTACATTGCAGCTGACTAACCGACTGACTCCCATGCAACTAAATCAGTTTGGGGAATAGTGCATATCGTAATCACATTTGGGACAACGCACAACATAATATTTATAAGTGTTTAATTTACTAGGGGAAAATAACTTCGTATCAATTTTTAAAAGGATAAAATGGAAGATAAATAGTTACTCACAGAAGTATTAAAATTATGACTTGCAACATTAGTGGCGGTAGTAGTAGTAGTAGTAGTAGCAGAATGGTTAGAATGAGTTGTCGACTTATTGATAATAGATGATAATTGTTGATAATTATTAATAAGATTAGTCCTGTTCTGACCTGACATGATATTATTAGCATTGTCTAACTGATTAGATCGTTTTCGACAAATTGAATTCAAATTATAAACAGTACCTTCTTTAAGTGTATGCGATAATAAATGATGTGATATGTTATTGTTATGTTCATTGTATGATATAGTTTGGATAAGACCGCTGTGTTTACGTTCCGACACCGGTGTGGATCCATTTGATTTATTATTATTATTATTACTATTATTGTGATTTACATTGGATACATCTATCTCTACAGTTCCAGCAGTTTGTAGTTTTGAGAAACAATGATGTTTATGAATTTTATCTGTATAATCTACTATTTCATTATTATGATTGTAATTGTTGATGTCATTAGTATTAGACAGAGCTAAGTGATTATTACAATTATCATTGTGATTATGATGAGTATGACGATGCTTATGAATAGTTGTAGTAGTAGTAGTAGTAGTAGTAGTAGTAGTAGTAGCAGCAGCAGTGTCAGGTGAACGAAATAATAAATCTGTCGTTATTGGTTTCTTTGTATTATAATGAACAGTAGGCTTTTTTGAATGATCAACTTTTGAAATATGTAAATCTTCATCGCCATTATTAGTAGTATTATGATTAAAAACATTGTTACAATAGTTGTTATCCCCTGTTGTAGCATATAAATCAATACTGGGTAGAAAAGCATATTTTCTCTTTTTGTTATCACTATCATTAAAAATACTATTATCTTTTGACAATTTTGAAAAATTTGAACTATTTGATATTGTAGTCAATTCAGAGGAATATTGTTTTGAATTACTCATATGAGTCGAAATATTATCTGAACCGGTTAATGTACGAGTAAGAACAGAAAAATGATTTTGATAAGGTGTTTTTATAAATGATTTTTTCTCTTCAATTAAATCTTTAGATAAGGTTAATGTATCTAAAAGTTTTGATGAATGAACTGAAAAGGAAATAAATGAAGTAATGATAATCAGTACTATGAAGTTTTTAATCACATAAAAAAAGAAAAGCATATATCGATTAAACGGGTCACAGAACATTTATTTCATAATAACAATAATAATAATAATAATCTTGTTTCTAGCAACCAACTTGTTCAGATAGATAAGTAAACAGATAAACAATTTGGGATCTGACACAAATATGCATCAGTTCAAAAATTAGTCATGTTTACTCTAGTACTTATGTAGTGAACGAGAACACAGGTGGGGCAACCGAATTGTATTTAACGAAAATTACAGAGTTACTCAGTAAAATTGGAAAACCATATCGTAAATCGTTCATTTGCAAAATAACAGTTCATCATATCGAACTGGACTGTTCCTGTTGCAAAACATCAATCCATTGTCACTATTCATGCGTTTCATACAAATTCCATTGTTTTCTAACTCTTCCTTTCTTGATCTTCCCCCATCTTCGGCTGCCAGAGATTACGTTGACGCTCACGTCATATACTACTTATAAGTAGCTCGCACCACACTTAATTTAGATTTTTTAAAAGCTTTGAAGTATTATTATCAGTGTGATTGATTTATATAGTTTTCGAAGTAACTTCCGACATTTTTCCTTTTAACAAATAAATTCTTTGAATACATTAGTAATTACAGACAGTAATCATGGATATCAGTAGAAATAAAGTTATTACTTAGTGATTGTTAGCACCATGATTGCTTATTTGAATCTTAACAACTATTTATTTGGATGGGAATTCATTATAAAAGTTCTTCGAAAACATATTTTACGATTCAGTAAAAGATTAAATCGATAATTTGGTTAATATCTGACCTTTGGTGGAGTTAGTTTCGCTGAGCTGAGTGGTTTAATTGCTAGACTTTCGGTCTTTCCAGACAACATTATCAGTACAAACTTCAAACAAAAGAAAGCTATTTGAATTTCGTTACATATGACTTATATTTTTTTAATGGGGGGGGGGAAGAATATTAAAATAAACATGTAAATAGTAACAAGACAAGCGTTGATAACAACAATATACCGAACCTCATGTTGACAAGACGACATGTTAGTAATATTTAGAGGGAAGTTAATAACTCACATCTGTCTGAAGTTTATGCTGATGATAATTTTGTCTAGAAAGATAGTGAAAAGTTTACGGATAATCCATTCAGCTCAAGAATACATAAAACCACCCTGTCTCAATATCTGACCTGTTAGATAAAATCATCATAGAGTAAATGTTCTGACTTGAATTTCCGTGGTGTAAATATTCATCAATCTTGGTATTATTATTATGATCTTACCAGTGAAGTTGAGTGATGTCGGAGAGTTACCGTTATCGAAAGAAGCTACCATAAACTTGTAGAATACCGATCATTGAATATTCAAACGTTTAAAGTGATTTCCTCCATTAGGTCTGAGAGGTCAATGATTTCGGTGTTGAAAATCACGGAAAGGCATTTTTCAGGCTTGGTAGGTTAATTAACCGATTCCAACTTATTAAGCAGATTAGTTTGATTATTTTAAGTTTTATAATCGGCCCTAATGTGCACAAATTGTACAGTATAATGACATTCACATTCAAATGTTTAAGACTTATTTCTACGTAAAGTAAGGAAAACATACGGTGAGTGCTAGCCGTGGGTGGTGCCTTCAAAATTATTATTACATAAAAAAATCTAAAAATCACAGTTTTTAGACATTTTCCAGCGATGCTGCCTTCTCACAAGGAAGGAAGGGTTAGAAAAGGTCGACCCTAAAAATGTCACACCTCACCTTGCCTCACGGATTTCCGTCTCCGGCGGTAAGGCCCTTGAAACAAGAGCGAAGCTTAAAAACTTATCATAAAAAGGCCGTGTGTGACGGGCTTCAAGCAGTTGTTCCTTGGGCTCTGCGGTCACGCTTGCAGGTCTCTAAGACCAACACTAATCTACCTTCCTTTTCAGGTTCCTCAAGAAACACCCTTCCACGGTTTGAGCAGCTGGGAAGTGACATCTGCCCTCATATCCGTAACAGTACGCGAGACCGAATTGGTCAAAATCAAATCTTTCCTATACCCCCTAACATCTCTCTTATCTCCTCGGTTAACTCTTCTCACATTCCTTTATTACCCTGGACCGCTGACGTAAACGTTTTGAGTACGCAAAACATTATCTCTGGTCTCCTGAAACCCCGCCCTAAACTACATGTTGGAGCTTTTAATGTTCGAACCTTGTGTCAAATAGGACAACAGGCTTCCTTAGCTAGGACTTTAAAATCTCGCGCCAGTGATGTATGCTGCGTCTCCGAAACGCGCAGGATCCTAGTAAAATCATTAATTTGATTTCACCTTGTCAAAGACGAAGAAGCAGCACGATTTACTCTTCGTGTATCTGGTAACCCTTATTGTAAGGTCCACTTTTGAAGGCCTTGTTTATGAAAATCCCTCCATGTATACATTTGTAATTTGTCCTTATTGATTCCTTCAGTCGCACATTTTGTTAGTTTGTTCGATTTGATTTGAGATGATAATATTTCTATTTTATTATAGTTTCTATTTCTTTTGCCTTCACTGATATTCTTTGTTTCTTTCTGAACTGCATTTATGTTGTTTAAGCTGATACTTAGTCATGGCGACAGCCATATTGATTTGTTCCTCTTTTGATTGTGTCGCTTGCATTGACTGGAATTGTGCATTTTGATTGTGAATTGAAGCACCCTTCCAGAATAAGAAGCACTTTATGTTATAAAGCGACCAAATATTATCTTTTGAACAAATCTGATCTATCCAGAAAGGATAGAATAACATTTATTTAGATAATGATGTACATCTATATTTATGATGAATATAAGAACCGTCATTTACCCAAATCACTTGTTTTGGCTTCAACTGGGCAAAGCGCGTATCTAAACTACCTAGAAAGTTGTTCCTCAGCCCAAACCTCAGTTTGGATCCTACATTGATGCTTTTACCCGTGGCCTCGCTGAAGTAGGTATAGCATTGAGTCCTAGGGCAGAACTCTCTTCTAGAATGGATCTCAGTAGACAGTCGCTTGTGCGCTGTCAGACTGAACGGGACAGTAAAAACTCAGAAAGATAGGGACACTTGCCGTTCCCTCTTCGTTGTCTCCGCCAACGCTCCCACTGACTGCAGTTCATTACCGGTAATACTTCTATTATCTCTACCACTATTGGATTTGCACTGACCGCTGCGTCTCTGTGCTGATGGGGTATGGCAACCTGAACTTATGTACTCATGTACGAAATTCTACGTTGTAACTGACTGACTGAGATTTTATGTTATATAAGCTAAAAATACTTCATCTAAATCATTTAAGTTGTTATTAGCATTTATACTCCTGATTTAGAATAATAATCGAATGAAGAGAAATACTTGAAACTATTCTGAGTACATGTGACGACGATCAGACAAAATGGATTAATCACCCTGCTTAACAAATTATAGTTACTTTATGTACCTATCTTTAAGTGATACTTTCTTGTTTGAAAATCAGTAATATTACTAAGTAGTTTAAAACGAGAGGGATGGAATTGTGCTTGAACATAGAAATAACTGTCTAAACCGACCGAGTGATCGATTGGTGCCAAAGGAAGTTACTATAAACTTGCAGAAATTAATCGTTGAATTTCGAATTCGTTCAAAGTTATTCCCGTTAGCAGGTCTGACAGGCCAAGGGTTTTAGTGTTAATAATAACCGTAGAAAAGTATTCTTCAGGTTTGAAAGGTTGGTTAACCGATTCCTTTTAGTTCAGGAAACCATTTTCACCAAATAAAATTTTATGAAGTCCTAAAATTGGATCAATGTCAGAAGACTTCAGAAAAGGATATCTCGTGGCATCGATTTGGTAAGCTGTGAGTTTGGCGTACATGTGCATCTCTGAACGACATCCCCATCTGAGTATAATTTAACCAATCACAATCGTCTCGTCAGGTTAGTCGATATGTAGCAATAGTGTTACGGACAGGCAGTCGCATGCTTACATGTCTATAATTATCCACTAAGCTATAATTACAAGGTCATGGGAACTACTTTATACACAGGCCGAGTGACAGCCACACGATCAATACGAATGCATGCAATCAATCGGCCTTGGCATATACGTAGACAGCTGATTAACCGGGTGGCTCATAATATTGAAAGAATTCTGTACAATTTCCTAACTGAGAAAACCTACGTTATATGATGTCACTCACGATTTGAAGACCAAATTCAACCACGAGTTTAAGTTTGTAAATACCTGGTCGAATTCACAACTAAACAACCCATAGAAATGAGATTACGGGTGCAATCTTGCTTCTATTACTTGTTTCTTACACTAAAACAATAAAAGAAAGGTTTAAAAATGAATGGTCTTTTAAGACGAGGAGATTCGCAATGTGATAAGATAGACGAGGGGACCTTCTCTCTCTGTTAGGTGTTGTGGACACAAAATGTGCATACCACCCTCAGAAACCAAAAACTTCCATGTTTACATTGGTCAGAAAGGGCTTAGAACAATACGTCCTTGAAATGTGCTATTTTTCGCCAGTCTGTTGTATGCAGAGTAATTAGGCAGGGAGGGATCTAACAGAACAGATGAATTTACCAAGGTTATGGTTCACTTGAGCCTCAAAACACCTATTTACCTTATTTCTCACTAATTTATTTTCAAATGATAATGCCCTTGACAAATTATTTAATTTTTGCAGTAGTAGGGTCTGAAATAAGTTGAATACAAAGATACGCCAAAGGCTATCATATGGCTTTAGCGATCAACTACAAACCTTGAGCAATACGATAGACTCATGTAGTACTACTTCTAAAAAGACATTTTATCATAATATGGTTATGATATATTTAATCACTTCAGAGTGATTAAGAGACAAGAAATTAAAAACTACTGAATGTAAAGTAAGTAAATATTTAGGAACTTACTCATACGTTGTTCATTGTTTGCAGGCACAGAACAAGTCCTCAGTAGAGGAATGGTGGTCTTTGAAGTAACTGACTGCTGAGTATTATCAAATACAGATATACCACCAACTGATTGTCGCCTTTCTGGGATAATCCCACTCGATGAACAGTATGTGGAATCATTATGATTTAATATTGTCATAAAAGCACTAGTACTAACAAGATCTGATGGATTAGTGTTTGGAGTTTTCATAAATTTACATAAATGTTTATCAGATGACTGTACATCAGGGAACCAATTATCTGACTGCTTCCAATCCAACTTGCGTTTCTTTACGGGTAAACTTGAACAACTAAAACGTGTTGGACGAACTGGACAAAGTGGTTGGGGGATTTCACTATGATTTGGCGCATCACAAAATTCTTTATCTGGAGTAGCACAACTACTGGATGAGACGGACGGTGGTGCACTCCATGAAGTTTGTTGAACAGTTGAAATATTTTGAGGGCTTTCAGATGCTCGAAATTTAGGGTTGCGTTGATCTAAATCATCATAATTCTCACAAGTCCTAGAAAGAACTTCCAGTAGTCGTTGAGATGAAGTATTGTTAGAGAATGTTTCAGGAGGAATACATTTTGTAACTGGTTTCTGTTGAATCGGTAGGTTAGAAGCCGAGAGATCCTTAGTCAAAATATGATTCGAGTGCCTAATACTGTCACTGGAATGTATTTCAGAACCAGGAGAATAAGGTGTTAATAGGGCTGATCTCAAACGACAAGTAGAATACTGAGATTTATTATTCCCATGATCTATATTACAGTTAAATTCAGAACCAAGTGATGAGTTCAAAATGCGCATAACATCAGTATTAGCACGAACGGGAGGTGCATTCCCCGAATAGCTATCCTGGCTTGAACTATCCATGCAAACATCATCTGTAATGAAGAACGTAAATGGATATTTAATAAATTCTTCGATGGAAATTAGATTATATTAATTAAATAATGAATAAACGGGGAGATGGTCATCGGAGAACGACAACATAGGGTTTGAAGTGATGAGAACTGGATGTGACTTACAATACATTTGGTAAACGGGTTTAAAATAGGTGGGAAGATAATGAAAACCGCATCGTTTGTGAATTACTATTTGAAGCATGATTTTATTTGGTGTTTCTTACTTTATTTGACAGTTCCACACAAGTCGGTATTGCAGGCTTACAGTGCGAAGTGTAATGAACTACAGATTTACAAAACTTAATAATATTTATATTTAGACGTTAATTTAATAAATAACCAAACTTGTTTATTCAAATAAATAATGAAGTGAAAAGAACACATTGTACTTTTAGTAAAAGGTGGATTAAGAAAGAGATGGATATTCTGGAAACGTACTTCTCTAAAGCAGAGTCATAAAACCGAAAGAAATAACAATTTAAAGAAACAGGCTGGCTTGAGATATACTAGACAGTTTGTCTTCACAAATAATGCTTATCATGTACTGAAATACAAAGTAATTTACTATAGCACAAACACAATCAAAAGTAATATACTCACTTTTTAGTATGCACACATTAACTGGGTAACTACTCATATAGTTAGCAATCAGTTAAAACATAGCGAAGAAACATTCGCCATGTACCTGTTATCAGATTACGTGATTGGAAGAAGAGACACGAAATTTAAACTAGAATGAGGCTAATTTTTAATGCCCCCAATAACTATTGGAGAAACTGAAAATATAACTGACTTGAAGTATGAAAGAGCAGTAGGCCTTGATAAGTTAATTGAAGGTGATTTTTACGATGGTTAGAGATATAGACGCCATATCTAGCTGGTGCTAATTTCTAATCGTCATAATTTACGTAAGACGGAAATTTTTAAGTGACCATAGGTGAATCAATTTGACTTATATGATGTCCACGACCTTAACATTCACAAGTAATCATTGGAAAAGCAAATGTGTTGTAGGCTTAACATCTGATCCCCGGCTCTGAAATAAAAGCATACTTACTAAGGTAGAACTGAGGTCGTATTTTATAAATTAAAGAGAGCATTTACCTTGTAGTAGTTTGTTTTAGAAAACCGCACTAAAGAAGGGCCGTCACTCGGACACCACCAATAAGGTATTCTTGAAAACCATTTTGTATTTCTTACGCTATATAAAATGATGCGGATCGATTGTGTGGTAGTATTCTCACTTCAACAGAATCCATAAATCATAAATGGTATGGTTCAGGAAGCTTGCTTTATTAAATAGTGTACTATCATGTTTTGGATGCGTTATGTATACACACCCATTACCTTACCTCACTCAGTATGCTGGATAGTAGTATAATAATGTGGGGGAAGTTTTGACGTAAACTGGTATGGAAAATGACATTAAGTGGGGACATTATTAACGGTTGATTTGAGCCGTGTTAGAAAAAGGTATGATGTTTAGTCGAAATTTTCAGCACAATCGTGGTCAGCTGTTGAATACTATAGGAGATGCGGTTCAACAACGATTGTTGTTGTACAAACGAAATCATTCTTAGACATTGTATTATTTTATTTCTATCATTTTCCAGATTAATTATGAATTTTGACCGTTTTTTCCCTCCTATTTTATCAATATGATAAATTTATTTCCTTGGTTATCAACTAATTAGTCTCATTTCGCAATGCTAATTTAGGATGTGGAAACTTACATTCATCGGTTTATATACCATAATCCAACACATTTATGTTAGTCTATTTAAGAGAACTTAACGAACTTACGAGTACAATCTTGTACTTCAAATCACTAACATAAGATCTAAGAATGTTGGGGGAGGAAGAAGAAATTTGACAAAACATGGGTGGAGAGAAGTTAACTATGAAAAATCTTCTTTAACAAAGAAAAGGTAATTGTGGAAGCGTATAAGATGATTTCCAGTTTCCAGCCTTATTTCCCAAACAACCAAAAGAAATTTGAAAACCATTATCAGCTTGCTCTAAATTGAGATAGAGACAAAAGAATATAAAGTTGAGGTCTTTTATATTTACGGGTCTTCAGGAGGGCTAGCGTCTGTGCAGAGCTCTTTGATTCTTAGAGAAACTCACTGTCCAGTATAGGAGTGCTTGGAGTAATCAAAGTTTACTGTAATTTCCTGCAACGATAAAACATCGTTGGGAATGCTGCCTGTTTGTGGAGAAATTTTCAAGTTTCGTAGTTCAACCAGCAGGATAACTTTCAAGTCGTATAACAAAATAATAAGATGGGCAGGATGTAAGTCAAATTTGGACTAAAGAATCAGTAGCTTGATGACATGATCCTTTTATAATTATGATGACAGTTTTTGGTTAGTAGGAAAGTCAAGTTGAGATAATATTCGAAAATGTACAGCATTAAAAATGGTGAATACAAAATCTTACCACTTGTATTGGACAATCCGTCTGGTTCATCTGCTGTTCCAATTCCTCCCAATGAAAAAGGTTCTGCTAATTGACTGACACCTGTAGCAGCTGTGAGGACACGACAGTGACTTGGTGGCAATTTCAAAGAAGTAGAGTCTGGTCTTAAACGAGATATGGGGCATTGTTTCCAAGTATCAAGATGATACGTAAACACCGGATCACCATCTGGATAACTCAGAGAAGTTGATTTGGATTTGACAGGCTAAAAGAGAATGATTTAAACGGTTAAATTTTATGTCAGTCAGTCAGCAACAACGTAAAACTCGATAGGTACGTACACCAGTTCAAGTTGCCATACCGAATTAACATAGAGATGGAATTATCAATTCAAATCCCATAGTGGTAGAGGTTGTAGTGGTAATCAAAAAGTTTAGGGATCGAATATAAAATTCAAGAATATTCCCATGAAATGAATTCAAAAAGAGGAAAGGGGTAGTGAGGTCAGTCGGTCAGTTACAACATAGAACTTTGTACGTACGTGTGTGCATAGGTTCAGATTGACATACCGCATTAGCACAGAAATGCAACCGTCCGTTCAAATCCCATAGTGACAGAGATAGTAGAAGTAATATCCATAATCGAAAAGATTAGGGTACGAAGACATAATTCAAGAAATACAATGCAGTCGGATAACATTCGAGAGAGAGGGATGATGAGCAACGATTTTGAGCCGTCATTTAAGGTATCGAACCATTATGCCGTGCTTTGGTTTCGCATCTCAAACATGCTTGCATTGTTGCTTAGGGTAGTCAGAAGACTGCATTTTGTCAGCGTCTTCACCAGGTAGAACTGTCATCGGCATACTCCAAATCAACAAGTGTTTCTTGGTATATCCACCCCTGAAAAGCATCTCCATGACAAAGTCCAACAAAGATAGAGAAAGTGGATAGCCCTGACGGACACCACTTCAAGTAAAGAATTCCGATGACAGTTCGCATTAGCCCTCACTCGACCAGTGTTCGAGTATGGAGCTTGTACAAGGTTATCTTAGTTCTTTGGTACACCATCTAACGACAAACACTGCCACAGAACCTCGCGATCTTCAGACTCAAATGCCGCCTTAAGCTCAAGAAATACTACTGTTGCCGGACGTCTGAAAGTGTGTCTATGTTTTAGGACCTGACGTAGTGTGAATATCTGGTCTATACATCCAGGGGCAGGTTGAAAGCCAGACTGGTTTCTTCTAGTCTAATCTTCACGAGGTCTAGTTAGGTGTCCGATTATTATCGAGGTCAATATTTTAAATACTATATTAGTTAGACTTATTCCCCTGTGATTGTCACAAGATGACTTTTGCCCTTTCTTATAGATTGGAACAATCAGTGATTGAGACCAGTCAGACAGTATTACGACCAGTTCCCAGACTCTACATAAGAGCTCATTCAATCTAACTGCTAAAACCAGATCACCAACTTTAAAAATCTCAGAGGTCAATCTATCAGGTCCTGCTGCTCTACCTCGCTTCAGATTTCTCATAGCCTTTCCAACTTCATAAAGATTCGGAGGGCTTATTTCGACTCGCCATTCAGGTTTACTGAAGATCGTGAGAAACCAAAGTGTGGCTGGAGGCTAGTTGAGCTGATCCTAAGTGTTGTGCCCATCGATCCAATAATAATAGTAAGACCATCCTTTTCCGAGATAGTCTCACTTACAGTTGGATTCCTGATACTGGTTACCTTGATGAGTCTGAACAGTTTTCCACTGTTACCTATCGCTGCTGCCCTTTCCATCTCTTTTGCTTTCGCTACCCGCCATTGTTCCTGATCCTTCCGTATGCTTCTTATTAGCCTGCGCTTAAGTTGCCCCGCTCCTCAACGTGTTCACAGTCAGACTGGATGAGTTTCCAAGCATCTGTTAGTTAAGTATCACTCACTGCTTCTCCCTAACCTTTCTTTTAGCTTACTTACAAATTTCACTGCTGTTTCCATAGCTGTAAGGATATCATTCCAAGTCGCAATGGGGTGGGAATCATTTCCATAGATGTCTGATTTTTTTCCTAGTTGCCGTCGAAATATACTCTCGGCTTTTTATCCTTAAGTAGAACTCTAAGGGGTTTCTGTGCGTGTTTTTCACCTCTAGTAAGCCACAGACAAGCACGCTCTCGTACTAGAGCATGATCTGAATTTAAACATGTGCTCCAAAACGAGCGACAATCTTCTATCGAGCCTCGCCATCGGTGGCTGGTTGCGATATGGTTTAATTGTGTCCAGCGCTGAGTCGACTTTCGGGGTGCTTAAAATTAGTATTAGCTAGAAAAAGGCGGTTATCTGAGCACAGCTGCAGCAGACGGTCGTCATTATCTGTTCTTCGAGCCAATATAATAACATCAGTGTTTAGCTTTTTGAGGGAGCTCCGAAAGCTTTCTGCAAAATTCATTTCATACTTTGTTCAAACTTTAGTCAGTCTTAGCGTAGACAGAGACAACGAATAGGCGACAGCGAATGTCCCCATCTTTCCGAGTTCTTACTGTCCCGTGTAGTTGGACAGCATATAAGCGACTGTTTACTGGGATCCAGACCAAGAGGGCACGTTCTACTTTAAAACTTAATGATATACCTATATCGCAGAGGCCACATGAAGCAGAATTGGGGTCATATAAGTGACTCTACGAGGATCCTGTATGCGCGATTCGGAGACGCAGTATACATTGACGGCAATAAATTCTAAAGTCACAGTTAGATCTCGTGCGCTGTTACGGGTATGAGCACGAACGTTACTTCCAGGTTACCGACAACGTGGGAAGGTATTTCTTGAAGAACCCCAGAGGACATTAAGTTAGCGTTGGCATTAGCTACCTGAGGGCATGACCACAGAGCCCAAGGGACAACTGTTTGTAGTCGGTCACGCACGGCTTTTTTATGAGAAGTTTTCAACGTGTTAGATCAGCTGTTCAAAAGTCTTTACTACCTCTCTCTTTCGCCCTCAGATCGCCAGTTGCTGCTTTTAGTCCCACCGTTCTCAAAATGGATAGGCCTGTCATCTTACGACCTAAAGGAGCATGTGCCCGGTATGGTTTGGTCATCACGATCGGAAAGTCCAACTACTGCGTCAATGTAGCAGCTATGAAACAAATGAACAGCGCCTGAGAATGACTGGAAAGGAAATCCTAGACCATTATTTTTGAACTGCACTGTATAGTCACACAAACAACAAATTCATTGTAGTCACATTACTCATAATATTGTCAATCATAGATACACGGCTTATCAAAACTCATAATCGTTTAAATCTTCAATGTTAAGTGAGGGCAATATTTCAATAAATTTAAATGTAATACAAGTGACACGTTTTGATCTATATAACCCCGCTAGATGATCATTTTACGCATCAAAGTGGCAGAAGTAGAGAAGGCTCTATTAGTTTCTACCAACATACAAACGGTACTAAACAATAACTTTTTTGAACTATGTTAGCATGTATAGTACGCTACATTAGCAAAATACTGAACGATAAAACTTGGGACAATTCATTAATTCAACTTGCCACATTCGAAAGTAAAACTAAAAAATCAATCCCTAAATGAATGATAAATTGAACCATAGAAAAAAATTTCTTGGGGGAGAAGTACAACTTGAAATGAATATTAAGGTTTTACGTATTTGTGCTCTTACATACGGACAGACACAGATACAACGCAGAACTTCGTATGTAAGTACATCAGTTCAGGTTGCCATACAATATTAGCACAGAGACGCAATTGTCAATTCAAATCCCATAGTGGTAGAGATAGTAGAAGAATTACTGCTAATGGAGATTAGGATTTGAAGATAATATTCAGGAAGTATGATTCTGTGAGATAAGTTTCGAAAGGCAAAGGTAGAGGTGTTGACGAATCCAGAAGATTAGAATTTGAGAGAACACAAAGAGTGGATGCACCTGCGCCATCGCAAACGATTTTGAGCCATGTCATTCAAGGTCTCTAACCATCGCTGAATTTCGTCTCGCGGACTCCAACCAGGTAGCCGACATCTAGCAACATGACTCGGTCCACTTAACAGAGATTCCATGGATTTCTGTCATGTGTTGGTCTGGCCGCTTCTAGCTTTCTCCCAACCTACTCCTACCTCACAAAACATAGCTCGTTGAGGAAGTAGGTGTTCGGACATTCATAACACATGTCCCAACCACCTCAACTGATGAAGTTTCAATGCTTCATCTATTGATCCGCCATCCTTACCTAGTACTCGCTTCCTAATGGCAACATTGCTTACTCGGGTGTCCCATGATACACAAGCAGTGCTTCTAAGACATCTGTGATCGAACAATAGCTCCACTTTATCACAGCCTGAAAGATAACCTTGTTAGTAAACTCTCTCGAAACTAATCAGCTCTGTTCCAAGAGGATTCAGTTAGTTAACATTGTGACTGACTAAATGTGCGTCAGTACAGGCTAAAATACCACATTACCGAGATGACTAGTAGATTCAGTGAAATGGTGGTAGTATAGATGATAGAGAAAACGACTAAATATCAGAGGACATTATTCCCGGGATGAATTCGGGAAAAAAAACCATGCATCACTGAAGCCAAATGTTTAGAAAAAGAGTGGATTCATTCACACTTGATTTATTCCGAATTACGGCAACGAACAGCACTGAGGATGATTGTACTTACAGTGACAGATAAGTGTACCAGTACCATGGCCACAGGGGCAGAATATACGGATTGTATGTGTACCCCAATCTTTTATAGGCACGTGAATGAATTGATCGTTCATTTAGCGACCTAACCTGAATTGGAGGCATCAGTGAGATGCTAGTTAGGCAAAAGTCTTCACTTAGGCAGCAAGCATTTGAAGGTTTCAGTTCCTATACAAGAAGTTGTGTATTTAAATAGTGTAGAAACCACATATATAAGCTTAATGTTTCCTAATCGTAAAGTGAAACACAAAATGGACGGTCAAAGCGTGAATTGTAGTGAGGATGCAACCTAACTATTTAGTATTTCATAAGCACCACATATCGATTTATTTAGATGTGCTACAATGAAACGTAGGTAGCTCGGAGATTTATAGCAGTGTAACGAGGCATAATCAAAATAAACACTGGGGAAAAGGACACGTCATAGATCACAAGTAAACAAGGTGCTGTGTAGGAAAATCACCGCTTAACTCCCAAGATATGTACTGAATCGATTTTAAAATAGGATTTATCGTGCATCCAACTTAAAACGGGTGATGTTTGAGCTAATTTATTGCAAGGTCTCGTAATTTGAATAATTGACTAGAATATCACGAGAAAATCTTCAAATATATACTATTTGGTGGCCTGAGATTCTCTAGATAGAAGGCGCACTTACACCTTGATTTTGAGCTGATCCAAATACAGTCTGTAAGTCACCGATTTTCTGACATCCTGACATTTGAATGAGATTTGCGAGTTCTACATGTAATGTTGGAGAACTAACAAATATAAAGCATTAACTTTTAACCTACACTTTGGAATCCATCGGATTATTACAATCTACTTGGTCACCGGTACTCAGCCACTTAACAAACTGTGTCACGTTGATATTTCGAAGACTGTCAGCCGTGTTGTAGCCACCTGAAAAACCAATACTTTAAATCTCTGACGAATACCTTTTGAGAACAACTTTTTTTCCAAAATCTCCGCTGCCCTCAGAAGTACGTCAATATCACCCACATCCTCACTATCTACAGAAGCCATGTCCTAATTCGCAGATAGCCCGCGAACGGACGAACTAAGAGACCAGGGCCATGTAAAAGTAATAACCTACACATCGACCAATGAGGATCGACTTGGTGCTAACGTGACCAAAGGTCGACACCATAACGACGACCTAGATCTGTGACCGGCTAATTTGCCCTTGAGATTTGATACGTTCAAACTTCACAGAATAAAAAGCAGTATAACTTTTATTGCCAGTTCAAAATTCCTAGTACAATTCTTGATTAACCCCTGTGACTTGAATTTAAACGGCTTGTAGTCGCAAATATACCCCCAAACCAAATATCTCTGTTTGCCGTCAACTTTGGAATCAACCTCTTTATCTTCATTCTACATTCCCCAGTTCAAGGTGCTCGGTCACGCATACGTCCCTCATCACTGTTAGATAATCTGAGCTATACGTTCTTAACGACAACTACTGATGGTAGATATCGCTTCTAACAGCACCGGCGGTCTCCCAAATATATCTTCGAACCCACTCATTCCTATCTTTTAGTTTGAGTGGATTCGGGATACTCAACTAGAAGGACGTTAAGGATGATAGCATTTTCTGGCACAGAAAATATATCACACCTTTATTGTTTAGCCTCTTTATATGGTGCAACAAACTATAGACTGTGAGTTTATGTCAGAACTCTCAGACTAACTTCAAAAGACCAAGGCTCTCATTCCCACTTTTTAACTAATTCCGATCCGGAGAGACATTGTTGAATCCAGTTTCTAGTATGCACAGGCTGAATTTATTGAGCATGATGCGAGTGATCCATATGTTTGGTCTCCCGCAGTAATGAAAACACTATCCCGAGATTTAGTCAGGCAAGTTATACACAGTATGTTAACTAGTGATATTACGAAACCGTCCGACATTTTGGTAGGAATCAACTTGGAGACCGAACCAGTCAACACGGTTTAGATCGTTCCTCCTTGACATCTAATCGAGTTACATATTTAAAACGGAAAGGACGCTTCTTACTTTATAGATAACTAGCCACTGTATTTATTTGAGAATAAATTATTATTATTATTATTATTATTATTATTATTATTATTTTACACTTCGTTTTGATATCATTAGAAAGTGACGATGTGGATAAAATTGTCTCATCTCATGATCAGATTCTGGAGAGTACTGGACCCCTTCCGTCAAGGACGAGCCTTATTAGACCCCAAAAGAAAAACAAAATATTTCTGCAATCCTATAGCTCGGTACATTCACCATGATTACAAACAGTTGAAAACTTTTCTAAGATGACCGGGGTGAAAGAAACTATTTTATAGACCGTAAAAAACAAATAACTGCAAATAGTGATATTATTATTTTCTTTATTATTACCACGGTACATACGGCTAATCTTCCAGAAGCCGTTAGAAAATTTTTTTTCCGACCCAAGACCTTCAATTACATTAACAGGTTCTGAAATCTCTCTTACAGGCGCGCGCTGATGGCAACGATATCAGCTTACCTAACTATCTTTACGAGACCAGAGTCATGGTTACTGGGCTGGACATCTTGTTTAGCTGGCACCTAGGTTAGCGTCTTTGCTTTGAATTATCGTGATGGTCTACAAGATCTGATTTCCAATATTCAACGAAGAAAGAAAGAAGTTCGGTTCCATCCTAACGAAGATTTTTGAAAACATTTTAAATGAATTTACGTCAAGACAAAAGTATCTATGCGCATCATTTGCAAAGACCTGCTATAATGCATGTTCGGAAAGTCTTTCTCCCCTTCAAAATCCAAAATGTTGCTTCAGGATTAGGTTCCATCGGCACCTGAACTAGTGATAGGGAATGAAGTAGTCGAGCGTGTCGACCGCTTCACGTATCTGGAGAGTCTCATCAGTGCTGATGTCATGGTGTGTGACGAAATCTCAGCACGGGTACAGAAGGTTCAATTGGCTTTTGCTAACGTGCGTCATTTATTGCGTAGGCGAGATATCTGTCTGCTAATCAGAGGACGAGTGTACTGCGCAGCAGTTCGCTCCGTGCTATTATATGGATGTGAAACATGGCCAGTAAGAGTTGAGGATATTCTTAGGTTATGAATATTCGATTATCGATGCATTCGAAGCATTGCTCGTGTTTTGTCGGACAACTGAGTGAGCGATTCTGTCATTAGGAAATGAGTACTAGGTAGGGATGGTAGATCAATAGATGAAGTATTGAAACTTCATCAGTTGAGGTTGATGGGAGAGGTGTTACGAATGTACAATCACCGACTGCCTCGATGACTCTATGTTATGCGATGTAGAAATAGGTTAGATGAAAACTTAGGGTGAACTAGACAAAACGTAGAACAAACGAATGAAATCAGTTTTAAGTGGACTGAGCCATGTTGGTAGGTGTCGACTACACGGTTGCTGTCCGTGAGATGATAAATTACATGATTAGAGACCTGAAACGACGTGACCAAAAACTGTTTACAATGGCTCATGTGTACGCACTCTTCGTGTTCTCTGAAATCCTAATCTTCGAAATTACTCATGATTTTTTTCCTTTTCTTAATGGATTCCTCACTGACATACGAATGTACGAAGTTCTACATTGTAACTGATTGACTAAGTGACAACACATAATCTTTTGTACAACTCGAGTGGACCCATGTTAGCACACTGAGATACTGGATTATCTATTTGCCTCGTTTCGTTCATGGTTTTTAGATTATGCTCAGCCACAATGAAGCGTATAACCAACCCATTCTTCCTGTGGATACTGTATGTGTTTCCCGTGCTGGATAATAAAAAACTGCAATTTCAATGCGTAGTCAGAAAGTTCGTACGTCGTATCAGTTTGAATAGAATAGCTGTATTCTTGAATGCTGGCCAATCATTCGCTGTTTAGCTTAGGCTGGAAAGAAGACCCGACTGAAGCTGCTACCTTGAAGCGGTGGTCGGGCTAGCCTATCATGATCAGCCAGCCGAGCTATACTGGCTGGAACATATCTTCCTGAATTTTCTACCATGCCAGGCAGGTCGATTGGAGAACGATGAGACTAAAAGCAGCTACCCAAGGTCTGAGGGCGAAGTCGTACTGCTGACTGCAGAGGGGTGTGACAGCAGTAATGTATTTCCCTCGGACAACCAGCATCTGCAGCGATGCTGCCTTCTCACAAGGAAGGAAGGGTTAGAAAATGTCGACCCTAAGAATGTCACTCCTCACCTTGCCTCACAGATTTCCGTCTCCTTGGGTAAGGGTGCCCACTATGGGCTTTTAAGAGCGGAGCTAATACTCAAAAAACCCTTCATAAAATGCCGTGCGTGACCGGCCTCAAGCAGTTGTCCCTTGGGCTCTGCGGTCACTCTCCCAGGTCTCCGAGGCCAACACTAATCTACCTTACTTTTCAGGTCCTTCAAGAAACAACCTTTCACGGTGTGGGCAGCCGGGAAGTGATAACCGCCCTCATACCCGTAACAGCACACGAGACAAAATTGTTCAAAATCAAATCCTTCCCACACCAACACACACCTCTCTTATCTCCACGACTAACTCTCCTCACATTCCTTTATCTTACTGCACAGCTGATGCAAACGATGTGAGTACACGAAACGTCATTTCTGGTCTCCTTAAACCCCGTTCCAAACTACATGTTGGAGCATTCAATGTACGGACATTGTGTCAAATAGGGCAACAGGCATCATTAGCTAGGACCTTAGAATCTCGTTCCATCGATGTATGCTGCGTCTCGGAAACGCGCATACAGGATCCCAGTAGCATCACTCATTTGACCTCACCATGTCAAGATAAAGAAGCAGCTCGATTTACTCTTCGTGTATCCGGTAGCCCTGATGCTGCTTCTAGGGGCCTCGCCGGTGTAGGTATAAAATTGAGTCGTAGGGCAGAACAATCTCTCCTTGACTGGATCCCTGTAGATAGTCGCTTGTGCGCCGTCCGACTGAACGGGACAGTAAGGACTCGGAAAGATAGGGACACTCGCCGTTGCCTCTTCGTCATATCAGCCTACGCCCCCACTGACTGCAGTCCAGACGATGTAAAAGATGAGTTTTACAGAAAGCTTTCGGACCTCCTCCAAAAAGTTAAGCGCTCTGATATAGTTATAATGGCTGGTGACTTCAATGCACAAGTAGGTAGACTAAGTGAAAATGAAAGACACCTAGGTGGATGTTACGGTCTCGCGGCTCAAACAACAGACAATGGCGACCGTCTGTTGCAACTGTGCTCAGATAACCGCCTATCTCTAGCAAACACTAATTTTAAGCATAAGGAAAAACATCTTTTGACCTGGCGACCCCCGAAGTCGTCTCAACGTTGGACACAACTAGATCATATCGCCATCAGCCACCGATGGAGGGGTTCGATAGAGGACTATCGCTCGTTCTGGGGCACATGTTTAGATTCAGATCATGCCCTAGTGCGAGCACTTATTTGTTTGAGGCTTGCTGGACGTAGGAAAGACACCGCAAGAAAGCCTCTTAGGGCTTTACTTGATGATAATCAAGCTAAGAAAATATTTCAGGAGGAACTAGAAAAACAGTTAGGCGGCCATGCAAGTGATTCTCATCTGGAGGCATGTTGGAATCATATCAAAAAGGCTGTGGAAACAGCAATGGTATCTGCTAGCAAGGTAAACCATGAGGCTAGGATGAAGCAGTGGATTTCAGTCGCATCCACCGAACTGATGGATGCTCGAAAACGCATCCCACCTGACTCTGAACATGATGAAGAGCGTAGTCAGCTTAGGTGCAGACTTATAAAAAGCCTACGTAACGATCGTGAACAGTGGTGGGTGGCGAAAGCAAAAGCGATGGAAAAGGCAGCGGCAATAGGCAACACTAGACAACTTTTCCGCCTTATTAAAGAAACCGGTATTAGGAACCCAAATGTAAGTGAGACTATCTCGGAAAAGGATGGTCTTATTATCCATTCTCAATCTAGGAGGCTGGACCGATGGGCAGAACACTTTAGGGATCAGTTCAACTGGCCTTCAGCCACACTTCGGTTGCCCACGATCTCCAGTCATC